TATTGTTTTTTGAACTTTTAATAATGATCATTCTATCAGAGGTAAGGGGGTATCTCCCTCAGGGATACCTATAATTCTTATATTAGATCATTTTACATAGTCCTATATTTCTCTGTGTGATTGTTCATTCTTCTTTACTCTTTTTTTTCCTAAATATGTGACTGACTGGGTTAGTCTGAAAGCCTTTTCTTCAAACTCTGAAATTCTTTCTTCTGCTTGGTCTAGCCTGTTGTTGAAGCTTTCTGCTGCATTTTAAAATTCTCCAAATGACCCTTTCATTTCTTTAACTTCTGTTATATCTTTTCTTATGCTGTCTATATCTTTAGTAACTTCTTCATCTTTTTCATTCATCTCTTCAAATATATTTTTGGCTTCTTTGTGATGGTTTTCAACTTTCTCATGAATCTTATCCATCTTCTTTGCCATTTGTATTCTGAATTCCATTTCTGACATTTTGACAATTTCCTTTTGGTTGGAGTCCGTTGCTATAAATCTACTATGATCTTTTGGGAGTGTTGAACTAATTTGTTTTTTCATTTTGCCAGAGTTCTTTTGCTGGTTTCTTTTTAACTGAAACCTCTTCCCTAGCTCAGAGGAGATAGGTTTTCAGTTCACCTATTCCTCTTTACTGGGAACCCTCCTACTTAGTGAGAAGAAGCAGGGGTCCCTAGATTGTGCTTTTGTGTCTTACTCCAGACGACTGACCTGGCAGGAGAGGAGTGGATGCACTGAGAGCCCGTAATGCAGCTGTTCTGCATTATCCCTTTCCCCTGTGATTGACACAGTCCAAGCTGGTGTTGGAGGATCTTCATGTAGAGTGGTGAATTTGTCCCCAGGCTGTTGTTGGAAGCTTCTGGGGGAGGAGGGAGGGAGTCCTTTTCCACAGAGGCAGGCACTGTGGGCAATTGCTCCGCCTGGGTCTCCTGTGGCAGTGGCCATGGCAGCTGGGCCAGGCTATCTAGGCAGTAGTCATGGGTGTCAGGGCTGTGGGCATTTGCTCCACCCAGGTCCAGGTGCAATGGTGGCATGTGGCATGCAGGCCCATGGCAGAGCGTTGGACCATAGGGGTAGATCCTTCCAGGTGGCATGCAGGAGCCATGAGGGTGGGACCACCAGGCCAGGTAGCAGTGGGGGAGCAACAATAGTGGGGCCACTGAGTGGGCTGCCTGGAAGCTAGGGCTCTCTCCCTGTGCAGGTCCTGCTGAGGCAATTGCCTCAGGGCTTCTCAGGTGGCATTAGCAGTACCTACTCTGCTCAAATCCCCTATCAGGGTGGGTGCTCAGCTCCCAGTCATAGGGCACATGAGAGTGTCTGCTCTGCCTCCTCCCTTCCTGGCCCAGCAGGGTGATGTGGTGGGGTTATAGCAAAGCTGGGCTCTTTATAGACACTCTGGACCTGAGAGCTCAGAATGGCATCAGGTGCAGCAACCCAGAAATGGAAGCCAGCGGGTCCATGCTGTGCCCACTCTCCAGTGCAGTGTTATTGCACAGTCTCCAAGCAGCTCCCTGAATAGTCTGGAGGTCTGCACTGGCAGTGGGACCCCTCTCACAGTTCAGGTCACAGTGTCCATGGTGGGGCATAGAGACCCAGGGTTCTCTCCTCTTGTCCTTCCCCATGTGAGGACACCTCCCCCAGGTACCTTCCAATCTTGCTGAGTGGATCGCCCCATCTCCCTCTCCTTCACTCTGTCTTCTGTCGCTTCTCTGTTGATTTACAATGTTCTCTTCACAAAGATCTATCTGTAGGTGGGCATCTACTTGCAACTTTCGATCCTTTCCATCAGAGTGGTGTGTGTGGGCTGCTTCTAGTCCGCCATCTTGGCCCTTCCCCCTGAGTGTATATATCTGTCACAAATAACTGTACGCTTGAAACAGGTGTATTTGTTAAACATATATATATATATATATATATCAGTAAAGTTGATTAAAGTGCATGTGCACAAGATAGATCAGTGGGAGGAGACAAGAGGTGGGGAGAAGAAAGCAATTTATGCCTTCAGTTAAAGCTTTAGATAACTTGGACTTTTTCTAAGGGATAATAGGAGGAATGAAATTAGAGAGACAAAAGCATCACTCTGAAAGAAGGAATAATAGAATTTGGAGATCAATTGGACCTGGTGATACTGATCCACAGGAAGGAGAATCTGGCTTTTGTATGCAAGGGATTAGCTGAGATTCGCCACAGGCTGGTGAAGACGCCACACCACAAAATGGAGAGGGAGGAAGTAGAGCACTGTCAAGCACTAGTTAAATACATTTTCTCAATCTCTCTGAGTCCTTCTTCACTTGTAAAATGGGGTTTACGATTCCTGCAAATTGCAAACGAGTTGTGAAGAACAGAGAAAGTGTGTGTGAAGCACCTTGTACTGTGTGGCTGGCACCTAGTATGCACCCATGAAGGCATGAGATAAAAGAATGACTACAATTAACATATTAAAATAGAAAAATGAGCTTTCAAGATAATATCAAAGATTTTGCCATATATATTTTTAGGATGTGCTTGGATGTGAGGAAATAAGAACTCAGTTCATAAAAACGATGAATCCACTTTAAAATTACAAGATGATAACAGGAACAGGGGTTGGGAGGAGAGCAATACAACAGTTGGTAGTATTTTTTAAAAAGGGGGCAGCTCCTTTTGCCACTGAAGATTCAGTAGTGCAGTCATTTCTTGTTTCTTTACCTCCCTTGATTCATCTGCTGGAGTGGGAGTTCAGACAAAAGGATGTTCTTGCAGCAATCTGCTTAAGATTCTCCTCATACAAGATTTGGTTCTCAGCCCATTTTCTGTCAGGCTTCCTGAGATGGGAAAGCAATGCATAAAAATTCTCAGGCTCGACAGTGAATTCTCCTGAGCTCCAGACTGGAATTTACAGCTGCCTGTAGACATCTCCATCTGCATGTCCTGCAGGCATCTCCAACTCACTGTGCCCCACACAAAATTAATTACCCTCCCACATACCCGCTCCTGTCTGGTCTTCTATCTAGGTTAATGCCATGGTCAATTTACCAGGCACAGAGTCTAGAAATTTCAGTTCTTTTACTTCTTGTCCCACACTCCCCAAGATCAATCTGCTGCCAATTTTTGTGGCTGCACCCTGTTGTAATCTGTTTTATGCACTCTGTTTTTTGACTTCCATCATCCTGTGAGAATCTTTTTCTCTCTCCAGGACCACAGCATTAGAAATCTATCTGCAGTGTGTACAGCGCTAGAGTGCTCCATTTACCGAGACTAAGGTCAATGGTGGCCCACCCCAGGAGTTGTGTAATGGGTGTACCTGTCTCCCGGCGCCCTCTTTCTCACTTGGCTAATCCAGTTAAATTAATGAAACATACATCACTTCTCTTTCTGAAAACACTTCAGTGACTCTCCATTGAACCTGCAGAACGAAGCCCCCCATACCAAATTTTACCACTTCCTTTCCCATGGTGTCATTTCAAGGATGCTATGCACTAAGTGCACAGAACCACAGGTCATGCCTCCAAAACCAATGTGTACTTTTTAACTTCAGAGTTGTGGACCATGGAATGTTCTCCATAAGTCGGCTAGACTCCACTCCTCCTTCCAATCCAGAATGACAGCCACCTCCTTGGTGTAGCTGCCTTAATTCCACTCTCCTCTGTCTCTCATTCCTAAGTGAGGCACTATTCATTATGCAATTCCTTTATTTATTTTGCCTGTTGTTAGGACCGGTGTCTCTAACCCAGATTTTACAGTGCTTAAGGACAGACATCATCTCTTATTGCCATCTCTGAGTCTCCAGGGTGCTCTGAATTGACTGTTAACCAGTCTAAAAATAATCTTCTTAAATTTTTACTTTAAAAATGGTGATTTTTACCAAAGAAAGCTTTTAAAAATTCCCAAAGAAACAGTTAACAATTTTGTTTGCAATGTACCCAAACAGTGAACTCCCTCAGCTCTACTGCATTAAATACAGTTTTTAAAGTCCCTTGCAGTTTTATTATTCCAGGTGCACTGCTACCATAAGAGGCCTTTGTGGACCACTGCTATAAATGTCATTTGTTCCCATTAAGCAAGTGTATTTTATATAAGATGATTGTCTAAATTTATGTTGACTATTCTAGAGGGTAGTATATCAGGTAATATATCAAAATATCTGAAGCTTAAAAATGTAGAAATCAACTTTTATTTTATAATTCGAAGACTATTTTTATTTTATTGAGCTCAACAAAATATATGCTTGTTCTTTCTAGGACTGTGAAACACATAAAAAAAAGCAGCCAAATTTGACCATCATCCAAATAATTCAAATAAAACTCATAGCAGTCCAGTGACTTGGGTATTTTAGTTGAGATTATGGGAAGTTCGGGTGTTGAAGAAATTTTAAAAAATTCTTTTTGGTTCTGATTGAACAAGTAATTTATTTAGTTTTCATTTAAATCTATAAAAGATTTTAAATCTGGCAATTAATTTCAAATATTGTATTCCTTACACTCATTTTCTTTTAAAAGTTAATAATAGCTATAAAATACTGTGATATGAAAGCATTGAGAAGATAAATGAACATAGATTGGTATATTTTTATATTATATCAGATAACATTATTCAGCACTTAGCTGTAAAGCAAACTTGGAAAATAAATAGGCATCTTTTTTACTCTTCTCACTGAGGATACATACTCTTAAGAGTTTAGCTCCAGAGTTTGGAAATCAATGTTAACACTTTATTCAAACATCCCTCCTTATATTTCTCTCCCCTTGATAATCTTCTCACGTAGTAAAAGTGCTTGTAATATATTTAAAAATAGGCACAGAGAAATCATTACTCTCTAGAAAATATTTATTGACATGTTTTAATTTTCTTTCCATATTCTGAGAAATAAACACAATACACAAAATACAGTAAAATGCACTTTTCCCATTTCAAATAAATATACTTTACTCTTGTAAAAAATTTAATAAGCTGTGTATTTCACCACAGTATATTAATAAGTGAAGTAAAGCGAAGATAATCTCTAGATAAATTGTCACTTATTTTAATGATTCTCACAAGCATTTTCCTGGAGAAAAAGAACATTATTCTCTATAGAATGGTATTGACTTGGAAATTGTTGCTTCTTGTTTGGAGAAGGCAAATATAAGCTTTTCTAAAATGTGTTTAGTGTCAAAATAGTCTTAGTTTAGGAGAAAAATAGCATCCAAGTCTTTACTGAATCAACTAAGTGAAGTGTAAATTTTCTTGTTAATACTTCCTAGAGACCAGACTACATTCTGAATAATAATGATGGCTATGTATCACACTGGTAATTTTCAAAATTAGTGGTTAAGTATTTAAATTAACAATTATGTATGTAATATAAACCCCAGACAGAATTTTAAAGCTCTATTAAGAAGAAAGGCTAAAAATAATGGTGCTATACAGGGCAAATTTATCCTTTTCACAATTGTTATTCTTAACATTATAAGAAATGAAATCTACTGAATTATACGCAGACTTATATACACATAGATCCCTGATCAGTTTAAGACAATGTGTTAGTTTGCTCTTGTAAGTGGTAAGAATATTCTTGTAGCCAGTAAAAATCACATTTAAGTAGTCACCAATCTCCAAAATTTTCTTATGTATAATTTATTCACCCACAAAAGAACACATCACTGAGTAGTAAAAGTCATTAGTACTGTCTAACTTCCTATGTTAGCAGTTAATTGGTACTTTAAATAGAAGTTGGTAGAAGTAAATCAACCTTTACTGTAGCTCCAGTCCCACCATATATGGCTCGTTTACACAGATGCAGAAATGCTGATCAAACTATGCCACCTCAAAACATAACTGTGTTCAGTAAAAGTCTTACACAAGCTATAAAATGGGTATTAGATCTGTTCTCAGCATTATAAAGGACATCAATTATTGTCCAGGTGGTGACTTATATTATGAAACTTTTCCCTCTTCATTATAAAGTGTAGAAAAGTATATGTCTAGGCATTCTTTTATGGCACCATTTTTATTTTTACATATTTCTGAAACAGGTAAGTGTGTGCTCAAAGATGCACAAGTCCAATAAAACGAGTCTGTGGTTTCCTTCTGTGATCTTTTTTTATAACTCCTCCATCTCAAAGTGTGTATTAAAGCTGTTTGCCATAGATGTGTGTTCAAAGATCCTTGAGAGGCTTGGCTTCAACAGTTCTACTGAGTGACATGGCAGGTGCTGAGAGGTGTCATTCTTCAGAGACATCATTGGGTCTGTCCCAGGCTCCCTTCTATCATAATACAGAGCCCAGAGCAGAGTAATGGTGAGAATCATGGCCAGGATTTGTGTCACTCCAATGGAGATTCCCAGAAACCTCAGCACCTGCAGTTGTTTGGTTCCTCTCAAAAAGGAATACATTTTCTTCCCACAACCCTGTCAAAGAAATAACATGGTAAATATTACTTTGGTTATGTTACAGAGGGTAAAAATAGGTTCATGAAAACAAACAATCTGTATCAGTTAATAGAACCAAACTATTTGAGTCATAAAGTTTAAGACAGTGACTCACAACAGGGAAAGCTTATGAGAAGATGAAGGAGAGAGGGAGGTGTGTACCTTTTGAAAAGCCTACCCAACTGATTCTAATTAGCTTACTTACTCCTTCTCTTGTCTTCCCCTCAACACAAGACCCAGTGGTATAAATAGTAAATACGTTAGGCTTTGTGAGCTGTGTGATCTCTATTGCAACCACTCATCCCTGCCCCCATAATACAAAAGCAGCCATTGCCAATATTTAAATGAATGGGTGTGGCTGTATTCCAATGAAACTTCCCGCACAAAAAAAAAGGCAGTAGGCCAGATTTGGCCCACAAGCCATAGACTGCTGATCCCTGATTGAGACTGATCCCAAAATTTCAAAAATAATGTTTTATTATTATTGTATTCACTGTTGACTTACAGCTCATTTGGTCAGAGACTTTTCCCGAAGGATGAGGAGTGGTTTCCCACTCCTGAAACACGCTGGTGGGTAGAAATCGACCTATACCCTCCCCCCACCACACCTCTGTCCACTGTCTATAGCAGAAATACACATGGGGGAATTATCATCATGACCCAACTTCTAGTTCTGCCACACAAAGGTCTGAAAGGTATCTTTTACCTCCCCTACAGGTTAGAGACACGTGACTTAAGAAAAAGATTAGCAAGGTTTTTTGTTTGTTTGCATTTAGTCTTAAGTACAAGTTTAAGGAGTGACTATGTGAAACACAGAAGAGAATTCTGAAAAAAAGAGGAGAGAAAGAAAAGAGTAGAAGAAAAGTCATGACAAAGAAAAAATGGAGGGAGGGGGGCCAAAAAAAAAAAGGAGTTAGAATGTGACCAACAGCAATCATAAGCCACTCACTCAGGTGACCAAAGTTAAGACGACCTGCCTTGTCTCTAGTGAACTGGAGTGAAGAAATGATAATATCTTTGAAAGGGAATCTGATTCTAAATTAAGGTGAAAAGCTAGGAAACCATTTTATAACTTTAAAAAATTTCAAGAGCTTTGAAGATTCTGAGATTTTACTATATTTGGAAGCTAACAAATTAGCCTGCTACTGTTTCATGGATGCTGGCAGAAGACAGAGACAAAGGACTTTATTACTCATAGAATGGCAATTGTCAGAGTACGTGCCAGTTCTTCGAGTTGTGAGGGCAGCATGAAGAAGGCCAGATCACACCTGCACACACAGTGCGTTGCATTACGGGAGATGAACTCCAAGCTTAGGAAACCCTAATCTTTTATAATGGGCAGTAAGCATACTTATCCTTTGCCTTGGAGAGGAGCATTATCTTTATTACACTGGACAGTAAACAAATCTGCCTTTCTCTGTGAAGGCAGATAATATCTCTATCTTCAAGGCTATTTTCTATATATACATCTTTGAAAAGATAGTCCAGAACAAAGGCCAGTGCTGCTCACAAGACATGCAGAAATGTGAGACAGCCAAGGAAAATAACCTCCCAACAATTCTGATTTTCAAATATTTTATTCTGAGTTTTGGGTAAAAGTGATTCGGCACTTGTCCTTTAGAGGCAGCCGCTTGAATAAAAAGAAATTCATAATTATTTAAATAACTGCTTCCTTGTTTTCTTCTCCAGATTCCACAAAGAATTCAACTAAGTCAAGGAAAACAAGACTACTGAATCATTTGTTAATTTGTGCACTATATTGGAGAGAAGAAATGAATAATACATAATTCTTAGATTTCCACAGACATTTACCAGTAATGCCAATAAGGCATTACTCTCAAGAAATAAAAAATCATGTAAAACTATAATGGTTAGACATATTTCAATAACTGCCTTTTTATGGTATACCATGTAATGAAAATTAACAGCAAAAGATTAGCTAAGGTTCATCAGTTTCACCAAAAATGAAATTAAGATATTTATGATTGAATAATACTTAACACTATTTTAATAAAGTCACTTCTCTGGCTATCTTACCTATTTCATACATATACAAGAAATGTGCACACATACAGACATACACACACATTCTGCGGGAAACCAAAAGAGATTTCACAAAGACAATTTACCAAAGTTCAAGTACCTTTCAATGAGTTCCAGTAAGGTATTCTACGAGAGTCCATTCACTACTATGTTTACGTGTAACTTTAACAAGCATCTTTATATGACACAGTACAGTATAATGGTAACGATCATGAACTGCAGAGCCAGCGGTCTGAACTCAAATTCCTGCTCTGCTACTTATAAGCTATGTGTAGGCAAATTACTTAATCTTTCTGTGCTTCAGTTTTCTCATCTGAAAAATATAGATAATGATAGTACCTACCTGTTTGAGACACTGATAAGATTAAATGAACAAACACATTTCAACATTTAGAATGATGCTCAGCACATGGCAAGGGCTCTTATCTGAAATGTTAGCCCACAGATTAAAAAGTAGAAAGCTCGAGTTAAAAATAGATGGGGAATCTATGACCAGCAAATATTAATGGAAAAGTATGAACTACAACACTTTGTAAAGGAGTATGAAAACAACAAAAGCACAGCAGTGCGTCACCAGTGAGTACTGATGCAACAGCCCTTTCCTGTAAGAGCCAAGGTGGCCGTCACTGTTTTTTAGGACAATGAAGTAACTGTGCAAAATGATTATTTGCCACTGAGACATTAGATTACCAGTCTCCTGATTAAGAAGAGAAGTAGTTTACGTACTTTAGAAAAAGTCACCTCAAAAATCATTAAATTAAAAAGGTTTGGCTTCAGACATCTGCAAAATTAATTTACATGGACACTTCATTTAACATCATTACCAAATAATGTGGCACCATACCCTCACATCTCTCCTTTCAAGAAATTGATATAAAATGGCCTTGAATCATGTTGAGCTGATTTCTTAGCTATGTTCTCAGGACTTACTACAAAAATGTATCTCTAATGAATAAAGAATTAGAATGAACATGTCAATATTTGGGTAATAATAATTATAACAGATTTCAAAAGTAAAGGTAAACCATTTAATGATACAAAATTCCAGTTAGATAGGAGGAATAAGTTCAAGAGATCTATTGTACAACATGGGGACTGTAGTTAATAACAAGGTAAAGAAAAAGGTAAGCCATTCATAAAATATATATGCTGATGATTCAATCCTGCAAAACACTATCAATTATCATTTCATTTTTACCTTTTCAATAGTCTCTGGGGCTTAAATTTTACCTATATTGGTCTAAGATCTCCCACCCCCCCTTAGACTAACTCATTTTAAGCTGAGAAACTGTGCAGGAAAGGTAATATTTCTTTTTTAAATCTGTGCATAAAACAAAGCAGAAATTGATAACTTAGTACAGTTTATTGTATTTCATATTTTGGCATTGTGGAAAGTCTGTTTCAGGTCACTCACATTTATTTTAAAAATGGTACAGTAAATTATATCCTCTAGGATGGTTTCTGAATGAGACCTATTAGTTAACATTGGATGTTCTAGAGGAGCGGGGGGCCTTGGAAGTTATGAATTCAACTTTTTATCTTTCACGTGGTAAAAAAGCACTTCTAGAGTGACATCAGCAACACTGACGTAGGAAGGACCTCCAAAGAGTCTCTGCTCCATGTAAGCAATGAAAGCACTGGCAACAACTGCTAGAATCAACTTTTTCAGAATTCAGGAAATTAACCAGACTTGCAGCAATCTGAGGAGTGTTTATTCATCAAAAACATCTGAATCTCACGAAGAAGAGCAATCTCTGTGGCATTTTAATTTGTCCTATCCCCATCCCCACGTCCCAGCTCTGCAGTAGCCTTGAAAAACCAACAGCCTGCAATCGGTGAGAGCCAACAGCCTGGCAGCCACCAAAGGGGGCAGAATGAGGTTTAAGCTCTTTCAAAGCTCCATTTCTAGGGGACTGTCATTATTTGTCAGGTCTGGGGGTTCCCTGGAAGACCCCACTTACAAGTCTGTCTTTATTTGACCTGAACTTGGAGCTCAACTAGGGGGAATAGCCTTTTCCCCTGGGGGAGTTCACCAAAGGCAGTCAGAGGCAACTATTCAATGCGACGCTGCCTAAGGCTGCCTGAGGCTGTGGGTAACAGTTGTACACAACAGGGCTTGGCAAAATCCTGACACTTGTGGGGATCTAGACAGTTACACACATAAGTAGGGCAGTGCTTATGTCCAGGGGTTGCCCATAGGCCCAGGAAAGAACTGAGAAGACCCTAAGAGCTCGCCTCTGGCTAACCTTGAAGGTCTGTGCACCCTTGGTAAAGGGTGAGAGACTTCCTGCTTCCAGACATCTAAGGAAATCTCTGTTCATTCATTAACTAACCACTAGGGATAAATGAGCAGAGACTTCAGTGTCCACACACGACAAAGAATACAGACTTTACAGAATTAGTTTAGAAAAGTCATCAAACCAACAAATAAATAACAACAAACTTTGGAGAGGTGGAAGAAGCTGATTTCCAGAGTTGTCATGTTATATTTAAAATGTCCCGTTCTCTACCAAAAAAAGAAAAAAAAAAATCATAAGACATGCAAAGAAACAAGAAAGTCTGGCTCATACACAGAGAGAAAAGCAATCAATGAAATTGCACTTCAAATAAGAGAAACTCTCTGCCTCACTAGTCAGTCCTGCCCACACTAGAACAACACTAATTCTTAACAAGCATTCCCTGTTAGAAACTGCCTTCTTAACAAGGATGTCCTGGTTCTAGCTCTGCTCTCAGCCCTTCCCTTTTCCGTAAGGTAGAGAGTCATGCCTGAAGAATCATCACTTGACATTTAACCATTTTCCTCTCTAAGCTAAATATTCCTAGTTCCTTCAAGTTTTCCAAATATATACACTTCATCATTGCAATGATCCTTTTTCAGATTGTGCTGATTTTGTCCATGTTTCTTTGAAAATGACTTGCTTTTCAACTTAAAAAAA